ACATCAACTCTCAGGGGTCCTCCATATAACTCATTCTTGGTACGATTATGGAAAGACTGTGGAAATTGTACAAACGCAATATCGTGGCTTTTCTCTTCATCCATTAAGAAGCAAAGGGCATCTTGAACTGAACCCGAGTTGTTTGAGTACATATCACAATCAACATTCAGAATGATAGGAGCATTGCTTATCTCAGATGAAACCCTGATCTGCATATTAATTGAAAGAGTGAAATAAGTACCGGCCTAAAGCTAGCAAATACTATTAATGTCCATTCTTGTGCTTTAACTTACCAATGCATTCATGGCACCGGCTTTGAAATTGTGAAAATACTGTGGTCTTTTCTCCCTGGCCATGTAAACTAGAGTTGGCAAAATGTGCCCTTCTGTGTCCTTAGCTTTTTCCTCTCTCCCATCAATTAGTATCTTTTTGGAGAAAACAAAAAACACAGAAAGGAATGCTTCAAGAAGTCTTCAACTCACATTGATTGATCAAAATAAACACAGAAAATGAAAGAAGGTTTGAAGGCAATCTGGAAACTTGTGGCACCTGTACAATAGCAGCATGATTTCCAGCAGATGAAGATGAACCCCATTTAGAAAATCCTCTGTGCTTATGGTGTTCATCTTTGGGGATTCTGCCAAGTTTGCATGCAATCTCGATCCTGTTCTCCATATCTTGATACAGCTTCTGGCAAATTAAAAATAACATTATTAAGGGCATTACTTAACTCAAAACTATACTTGAAGATGGTGATTTTAAATGCAAAAAAAAAAAGCCATTTTCCACATAAAGATGGATGACTACCTTGAGCAAGGAGAAATCTCTGGCACTACTAACATGAGAAGAAGAAATTGAACGAAAATAGGCTTGTGGGGACCTTGGCTCAACGTTGAACTTCTTGCAATAGGGAAGCCAATGGTGAGAGAAGATGGAGGCCTCCAACAGAGCATAGAAGGTAAGCTCAGAGGCAGCATCATCAGAGAGGTAAACGCTCAGCTTCTCCGGCGGGTAGTCATATGCCATGACCGATAACACAGTGTTAACCACCATGATTGGCGGCTCTATTGCAGGATCAGCTGTACACACAAACACATCCACCCTGGGCAAATTATTCCTGTACCTGTTACAACTCAACACAAATGAAGAAGAAGAAGAAGAAGAAGAAGAAGAAGAAGATCAGACAGTCAAGAAAACAAGAATCTTGGAAGCATGGTAATACAGTAATAGTACACCTTTTCAAGAGCCTGTGTCTGAAAGGTTGACGAGAAATAAAGTTCCAGTTGTAAGTCTGAGTGAGAAAGCAGTAAAACCCAAACCAAATCTCCGCCCCGAGCATTCCAATCCAACCCATTCTGCCGTATTCTCCAGACCTGGGCATGTGACTCACTCTGTAAATCCAAACACAAACAATTCCCACAAAAATGGAAGCTGCGAAAAGGCGGTAAACCGCCCTCCCCTTTCCCGGCCTGGTTTCAAATAAAGGCTCGTACTTTCCCATCTCCATCTTCTCCGTTTTCACTTTCACAGACTTGCCAGTTTTCTGAACAAGAAAGAGTAGGTGTAGGTATGCTGCTGACAATAAGCAGGTAAACACTCTCTCGTGTGACTATGTGAGGTATAGTTTTTTTTTTTTTTTTTTTTTTTTGAAAACATTTGAGGTATAGTTAATACAGAAAATATACTCTGGCTATGGTTTCTTTATGATTTAAGATACTAAGCATCATTAATGCAGCCAGAGGGATTGTTATAATTAATTGTAGTTTATACAAATTTAATCATCTGTGCTTAGTATTGACGCTGCAACTCTGCAAGTTATAATTAATCAATGCTAGTTCACATGCTTAATTGGGGGTTGATCAACTCTTTTTATGATTACAATTAAGGCTCCCTTTGAAAAAGTAAGAAAATGAGGAAAATATTTTCTAAAATATGAATCATATTTCAGAAAATAAGTAAAAAAATAAAAAGAATTGAGTAGTTCAAAATTTTAATTCTTTAATACTTTTGATACTTTGTAAATTTTAATATATATATATATATATATATATATATATATATATATATATATATCAAGTGCAGCTACGTTGTTAGGTATGGTCATATGGTCAATTACAGATCATTAAATAAGATAGATCCAATGAATCACATTAATCAAGATTTTTTCAGTATTTTCTTGCACATTCTCCTACCCGGCGAACAACAAGGGTAAACTCGTCATAGGGCACCGGAATAAGGGAAATAACATTGTTGTGTGTTTTATTTGTGTAATTGGTGCATTATTAGCCATACTCTGGTGTATTTGTAGATTCTCGTTGGTGCCAAGTTCAAGTGCGACAATGCCTTCCCGTGTGGTCAGTGCGTCCGCACCAATTGTTATACAAATATACATCATCCATGTTATGAAATGCATAGCAAAAAACATACACAAATTAGGTATGCATTACCAAAAATGCATCATTAGATATGAATAAATACACCATACAGTGTTCGGGAATACACTATTGGTGTGTTTCACTGTGGTGTGTTTTGTTACACTATTGGTGCATGTTGTCAACACTATTGGTATATTCCGGAACGCGGCCGCTATAAATGACCACTGTAATTACCATAACACTCCCACTAACGCGCTAAAATCCTCAAATCCTCATAATTAGTCACTGCCGTTAAATTAAACTGATTCAACGACACAGATACGACCACACTGCCACTAATGACATGACCACATATGAGCGCTCTTATATATATATATATATATATATATATATATATATATATATATATATATATATATATATATATATATATATATATATATATATATATATATATATATATATATATATATATATATATAGGGATCAGGTGCATTTATGGCTTCCCGTGCGATTGTGCGGTTGATTAATGTGCATGAGTCGCGTGTTTAATGTGCCTGAGATTTGTACTTAATGTGCGTGAGTGTGTAATGTTAATGTGCGTGACTTTTGTACTTAATGTGCATGAGTATTGTGCTTAATGTGCGTGAAGTTTGTGCTTAATGTGCGTGACTTGAGTTCAGAATAACGAGCTCAGAAGGAAGCAGAATAAAAAAAGAAGGTGGGTGAAGCTTTTCTGATTGTGTGTGAATGGATGGATATATGTAAACGCATATATGACTGTTCTGATTTTATGTTAAAAACAAGACAAAATCCATTCCACCACCACTTCGAAACAAAAACAAGAAGAAAATGCAGCAATGGATGCGCATAATTTTCACAGCAGTGGATGAAGAATACACTCACGCACATTAAGCACACAACTCACGCACCTTAGGCACAAGACTCACACACTTTAAGTACAAAACTCACGCACATTAACATCACACACCCACGCACATTAAATACAAATCTCAGGCACATTAAGCACAATACTCACGCACATTGAGTACAAACCTCACGCACATTAATCAACCGCACGGGAACCTTTCACTATATATATATATATATATATATATATATATATATATATATATATATATATATATAGAATTAGGTTCTCGTGCGGTTAGGGTGCTCAGGATTATCAACGTCCAGGATTATCAAAATTAAAAAAAAAAAAAAACGCGGTGACAATTTTGTAATTTTTGCATTTAGGTCAAAATTAATGTGAGCGGTTCTGTGATTGATGTGCATGAGTTTTGTATATAAGATGCGTGAGTCTTGTGCATAAGGTGCGTGAATCTTGTGCATAAGCCATAAGGTGCGTGAGTTTTGTGCTTAATGTGCGTGTGGTTGTGCTTAAAGTGAGTAGTTGGTAAAACTTAAAGTGTGGGCTTTTGTGTTTAAGGTGCGTGAGATTTGTTCTTAATATGAGTGGAGTTTGTGCTTAATTTGGGTAGGGTTTGTGCTTAATGTGTGTGAGGTTAGTGATTAATGTCAGTAATTGTTGAAACTTAAAGTCTGTGAGTTAATACATAAAGTGCGTGGGTTTTGTGCTTAATGTGCGTGAGATTATGCTTAATGTGCGTAGGTGTTGTACTTAATGTGCGTGAGTTTGTGCTTAATGTCAGTAGTTGTTGAAATTTAAGGTCTGTGAGTTAATACTTAAAGTGCATGAATTTTGTGTTTAATGTGTGTGAGATTGTGCTTAATGTGCGTGTGTTTTATACTTAATGTGCGTGAGTTTGTGCTTAAGATCTAACACTTAAGGTGCATGGCTTTCTTCTAAACACGCGTTTTTTTTAATTTTCATTGATTTGAGTCGTTGATCTAAATTTGATCAACGGCTCAGATTTAACCGCACAACCGCACGGAAAACTATACCCGCACATGAACCATTCCCTATATATATATATATATATATATATATATATATATATATATATATATATATATATATATATATATATATATATATATATATATATATATATATATATATATATATATATTAAAAATGTAACTTTTAAAAAAATTTTAAATACGAAAAAATTAATATTATTTATAGACTTTATTTATTTTCTGAATTTTAAATTTTTTAAAAAAAAGTTCGCAGATCGGTCGGTGGGGCCCGCCAACTCGCATGGGCGGGCTATGATTGCATGAACCCTAGTCTATGGATTTGGTGGGTCGATCCGTAAAAGCCCGCAAAAGGTCCGAAAAATGTTGCAAGTGCATCCTTTGGAAAATGACTTCCCTCAAAAAATGGGGATGTTATTTTCCCCCAAAACATTTTCTTTGACTAAGGTATCATTTTCTATTGATCTCATTTTCCCCCCTCTTATTAAACACGAAAAACTCGAAAAACATTTTTCAGAAGTCATTTTCCGAGTGTCCAAACGCACCTTAAATTCACTATTGCTTTCATGTGTGGAAGGAAGGATTGGAAGCATTTCAATTACCTGGCTGTCACTAAATAGAAGGTTAACGAAACTCTTCCCAATTTCAATTTCCTCTGAAGCAAAACTTCAAATTTCACAACGTGAAAATGATATATATGACTCTGATAGATGTAACATATAATTTGAGTTCTTTAAAAACATTGGTAAGTGGTAAAATTAAAATCTATGAAGTACAACTCATTTTAGAATAAACCATTAAATACAAGGTAAAGATTAGAAGAAAATTTACAAAAATGTGAAACAAGTGCAAGCAGAGAGAGCTAGAACAGTTGATTTAAGAGTAACAATGGTTGGCATCCTTCCCTTGTCTTTCCTGAACAACATGCCATTGTACAAAGGCAAGTTGATCAAAACCAGCACCCCACACAGCCCAATCTGCAAACCCATACTCTCAAACACAAATCTTTCTGCACCCACTAATTTCTTCATTGCCCAGACAAAGCAGAAGAGGTTGAGCATGGCCAGTGTTGACAGAATGGTGAACATTGGAGAAGTGCTTCCAAACTCCATGATCTCTTGCTCATATCTCAGAGAAACATCCTCGTCGGAGACCTTTGATGAGACGATAAAACCCGGGTTTGAAAAGCCAACCAGCTTCAACATTGTATCCAGAAACGCGAACAGGTAGGCACTACTTCTCTTGTAGAGCCACATTCTTTGCTCGTTCCACCAGCCCAGAAACGTCCCGTTTGCCCAGAGGAACTCGTAACAGCTGTAAGCAAGCTCCGCGACTACTAAATAAGCAAATGGCAAAAACCACATGCTGGATACCTATTGGCACAAGATAGATAAATAAGTACAAATGTAAAATCAGTGGCAGAAAAGATTAATACTTGAGAGCTGGGAATTGAATTACCTGAGGAAACAAGGGAACACCTTTGAGCAGGTAAAGAGAAGGTATAATAGAGTAATATAGAACTGCCAAGCAATTAGGAGACCACAGGCAATAGGTCAGAATACCCATAATAAGACCAGTGTTGAGCTTTCCTAGTCCATAACAAACTGGACTGTACTTTGAAAAAAGAATCTGTAAATCTCCTTCAGACCATCTCTTATGTTGCACCAAAGCCTGATCAAGACTGGTTGCTGTCACGCCTAAAAACGCCTCCCTTGCTGGGCTAAAATATACCGATTTCCATCCCTTGCATTGAATCGTAATCCCTGTCAGTACATCTTCAACTGGACATCCATACTTCAAACCAATCTGCGAATAAAAACACAAATAATCAATGAAGATCGAAAGACATAAACAAACTCAGATGCACAGGAAAAGACAAACCTCATAGCCCCACTGAGAGTTTTCCTCATAGGTGCAGCTGACTAGTTCCTGCAGCCTCTCTTCCAATTCTTGAGACTTTTGATGTGTTCTTCTAGGAGCGTCACTTTGCAATTCAATACGAGTTGCCTTGCTGAACTCCCTTCCACATATAGTTTCCCTCCTGTGAAAGCAGCCACTTCCAATATACAAAGAGCCGCCATAGCCATCCATGCCGTAAAATTCTGCCTTTTATACATAAAATAATGGAAGTAACTAAGTAAGCAAGTATATTAAAAAAAAAAAAAGTTACTCTGTAATGCAGTGTGTAGATTGAATTTTGTATACTACATACATGAATTACTCTCAGGGAGCCTCCATATAATTCATTCTTGGTAATATTATGGAAAAATTGTGGAAATTGTACAAACGCAATATTGTGGCTTTTCTCTTCATCCATTAAGAAGCAAAGGGCATCTTGAACTGAACCCGAGTTGTTTGAGTACATATCACAATCGACATTCAAAATGACAGGAGCATTGCTTATCTCAGATGAAACCCTGATCTGCATATTGATTAAAAGAGTGAAATACTGGCCTAAAGCTAGCAAATACTATCAATGTCCATTGTTGTGCTTTAACTTACCAATGCATTCATGGCACCGGCTTTGAAATTGTGAAAATACTGTGGTCTTTTCTCCCTGGCCATGTAAACTAGAGTTGGCAAAATGTGCCCTTCTGTGTCCTTAGCTTTTTCCTCTCTCCCATCAATTAGTATCTTTTTGAAGAAAAAAAAAACACAGAAAGGAATGCTTCAAGGCTTCAACTCAGTTATAAATAGTCACTGGAAAACGAAAAGATGGTTTTTGAACTTTGAAGGCAAGACAAAAAATTCTGGCACCTGCACAATAGCAGCATGATTTCCACGAGATGAAGATGAATCCCATTTAGAAAATCCTGTGTGCTTATGATGTTCATGTTCTGGGATTCTGCCAAGTTGGCATGCAGTCTCGATTCTGTTTTCCATGTCTTGATACAGCTTCTGCAGAATTAAGAATATCATGTGATTTCTAAGAACATTATTTAGGCCATTAGTACAAAATTATTAGAAATTCTTGAACTTAACAGTCTGTTTTCTCAAAATTATTGATTCATATATACCCCTAAACAATGGAAACAATATTTTATATAAGTTCCCAGCACACATCATGCTATTCTTGGTATCTACAGAGAGTCGAAATTTACAAGTTCAACTCCTAAAGGATTGGACTATCGGTCTTCTTGCGTTGAACTGGTCAGATATGGGTAACCAGGGCTAATTTCCTTCGCTAGCTAGGGTCGTAAGGCAATATTTACCCGTTCAAACCATTAGTAGTGGTTGCGGGTTTCTCTGGCTACTCAAAAGAAAGCCAAAATTAAATGGATGGTGCCAAGATGTAACTTGTGCCAATCTCACAACTAAGTCAGATAAATAGCATTTTCAACAAATTTCAACCACTATTTGAACTTGGAAGCTAGGGAAAATGACATTGATATTATTCCAATATAGAAGAAATTGGGGTACCTTGATCAAGGAGAAATCTCTGGCACTATTGACATCATGTTGGTCAGAAGAACTTGAACTAAAATAAGCTGCCGGGGACCTTGGCTCAATCTTGAATTTCTTGCAATAGGGAAGCCAGTGGCGAGAGAAGATGGAAGCCTCCAAGAGAGCATAGAAGGTGAGCTGAGAGCCACCATCGTCGGAGAGGTAAACGCTCAGCTTCTCCGGCGGGTAGTCGTATGCCATGACCGACAAAACAGTGTTGACCACCATGATTGGCGGCTCTATTGCCGGGTCCGCCGTGCACACAAACACATCCACCCTCGGCAAATCATTCCCATATCTGCTTATAAGTTATAACAACACAAAACAAACAAGAAGAAACATTAATGAAAAACAGATCGAAATCTGACGGTTTTTCAGTTAGTTGTGAAAAATTAAATCTTGGAACCATAGCAGACCTTTGCAAGAGCCTGTGTCTGAAAGGTTGGCGAAATACGAGGTTCCAACGATGAGATTGAGTGAGAAACCAGTAAAACCCAAACCAGAACTCGGCCCCGAGCATTCCAATCCAACCCATTCTGCCATATTCACCGGACCTCGGTATGTGAGTCACTCTGTAAATCCAAACACAAAGAATGGCCACAAAAATGGAAGCTGCGAAAAGGCGGTAAACCACTCTCCCCTTTGCTGGCCTGGTTTCAAATAAAGGCTCCTGCTTTCTAATCCCCACCATCTTCGTTTTCACTTGTAGAGGGTGTCTGTGTCTTCCCAGTTTTCAGAACAAGAGAGAAGCTAAGGCATGCGCTGAGGCCTGTGCGCGCCCTGTATTTCAGTATTTGTAGTACATTCATACATTTTTTTCTAACTCCATTTAAAGAGAGTGATTGATTAATTAACTTTTTATAATAACATATTGCTTTAAAAACATAAATTTAAAAAGTTGTTCAAAACGTCTTTTTCAATAAATTACAATCATTAGTAAAATCTACTTACCCAATCAGCTATTAGTTATAAGCTAACAGTTATTTACCAAACACCCTTATATCTTGAATTGATATTTGTATAAAAATTAAGAAAATCACTTTTAATTCCTCAATTGTTGATTATTATACAATTTAGTCTTTCATTTTCAACTTTAATCAATTTGGTCCTTAATTATTTTATTGTATTGCAAATCTAGTCAATCAAGGTGTAAAATAGTCAATTTAGTTTCCCACTGTTTACTTGTATCAACTTCCGTTTTAAAAAATTGAAAGATTAAATTATTATTTTATACATTGATAGATTAAATTTACAATATGATAAAATAATTGAGAACCAAATTGACTAATATTAAAATGAGCAATTAACTCATATAATAATTAATAATTGATGTAATAAAATTAAGACTATTCTTGTATGTCGCAAGAGACCACCATGAATTCTATTATTATTATACATAGACTCTTAATCTCTACTCTTTCATTTTTATAATTTTACTGCATGATGTAATAATAAATGATAAGTTATTTTCATTTTGTGAATTTCAAAAATATTAACATTAAAATTTTAAATAAGAAAATAAAAGTATGGAGTAGAACTAAAATTTTTAGACCACCATATGCTGATTGGACAAAGGGCTGACGGGTTAAGGTAAAAGTTAGAGAGATTGTGAGGAGGGATTGGTATAACAATAATTTAGTTTATAATTATATAATAATAATAATAATAATAATAATAATAATAATAATAATAATAATTTAATTATCTGTGTTTGGTAGTGACACTGCAACACGCAAGTTGTCATTTGTTTTAGACAAAGTTGTACAGATGAAGGTTGAAAGAAGATATTTATTTATTGAGTCAAATAATTGATTGGTTTATTTTAGAAGTGATTTGTAATTTAAATCTTTGTTGATTTTTACATCAAGCTTCACCAACCATAAAGCAAACGACGACTTTATTGAGAATCATTTTAAAATAATATATATTTTATTATATATTGTTACGACTAAAAATGAATAAACAAAGTTACAACTAACTGTTTGATGATGAATAGTATTACTATTATTAAAAAATTATAAATAAGAAAAGCTTGTGTCATTTGTGTCATGTATGAATCCTTTTACAATTGTAAGGATTTCTCTAAAACATCTAATACAATTAAGTATATTAACATGGTTGGAAATTTTAGTTCAAAATAACATTTAAAATTGTCAGGTTAAAGTGAATTCGGAATCTTTTTAGTGAGATTTAATTTGATATATTATTACACACATGAAATAGATAATTGTTGAATGAAAAATTGATTATCAAAATAGATAATTGTTTAATGTAATTCATTTTATCTGGTGAAATTAATGCTAAAATGCTCTTAGCACCCATACATATAAAGTAGCAAATCATTTTTAAGGAAAGTGTATGTGACACACAACTTGAATTTCTTAGGCCGTTCTAATCGCTTATATTTTCATAATAAAAATTTCTTACAAGCATTGCCCGCACGGTCGCACAAACAACTAAATTAACTAGTTCTTGAGTGACAAATTATAGACAAAGATACATAATCGAGTTTAATAGTACAGAATTTCACAATAAAATAAAAAAAAAAATAAAAAATTATACCCTTTGATCTCACCGCGGCAACATTTATTTGATTTGATCCTCTTCCGACAATTTCCATTTTCTTGCAATTGTTTTACGTATAGATGTAGAAAGCTGCGCTAGTTGACATAACTCTAAATAGCGTTTAGTTAGCATGAGTTCAAGTCGTATACAACTCTTATAGGTCTTATTCCATTATTCAATGAATTCTTAATATAATATATGATTTATAAGTATGAGATCATAACATATGATTTTGTGATGAATTTCATAAAATTTATCATCCCTATAAGCTGTATCAAAGCCCATCCATGTTGAATTATTATTGATAATCAAATTTATAACATTAAAAGTCAATTCATGAAGTTGATTTATTTATGGTCAAATTATTTTTGATAAATGATTATATATTTGACAATTGCATGCCTTCTAAAATTTAGAATTATTGTGAGAACAACCTACGAGTAAAATTCAAAAGTTCATTGTAGATAAAAATAAATATAAACATTATTAAATAGAATATACAAATGAATCAAATTTGTGACCTGAGAATCATGTTTTAATTTACTCAATTGGCCACAAATGGGCTCTCTCTTTACTTTATTGTTACAATATGGAGTAATCAATTGTACTTTGAATAAAAACAATATAATGATTCACATGAGAAACCATCTCAATTCACAACAAGTTCTATCAATGTCTGAAGATTTGTATGTACAGAGACTTGGGAAACAAATTAGAAAGCTAAGCAATGGTGTTTATTCAAGCTTTCGAATACTAGAGTTAGACAGAGTTGAAGTTCAACGAAACGGTCTTACAATTCATTTTGCGTTGCCTGGGAAGAAGACAGGCATGAAACAAACAACAGACAGCGCGAGTACAGACCTTATAAGAACCGATAATGGCAAGCTTCCACTGTCTTTCCGGATGAAAAGTGCTTCATAAACAGGCATATTCACCATCACTATCACCCCACTCAGACTCACCTGTGGGAGGAATTCCGGGGCCAACCCCAGTTTCATGGCTCCCCAGATGAAACTCAACAGGTTCAGCAATGCAAGCGTGGATGTAATGGTGAACATGAGGGATGATGATGAGCTCCCGAATTCCATGATTTCCTGCTGGTATCTCTTCTCAACATCGTTGTCCATCACCTTATCTGTGAGAGTGAATAATGCAGTTTCTGAGAATCCTAATTGTCTGCTAACTGTATCAAAGAATGCAAAGAAGTATGCTGTCGTCCTCCGAATCATCCATATTCTTTGCAGGTTCCACCATGACTTCACTGTCTCCCCGCTACTCAACGCTTCTGCTAATCCATACCCATTCCTGGCTGCATAAACGTATGCAAAAGGCAAGAACCAAAGGCTGGTTACCTGAAGCACATGCACAACAATTCAGAACGTTTGAAATAAGGACAGGTAAACCAGCTTAGAGTGCGCATAACTGACTGGCTCAAATCAAGAAGGCCAATAGGCCACTCCTGAGTCCTGGGAGTGAAACTTGTAACCTTGTGGTTACCAAGTCAATAACCTGACCAACTTGACTGGAGTTGCCCAGATGGAAAATATTTTTGAACGAAGAAAAAGGGGTTGTGTTTATGTGGATACCTTTGGAAATAAGGAGATGTGATGAAGCAAGGAAAGGGAAGGGAGAATGACATAACAGAGTGTAGGAATGGAGATTGGAGCCCAGAGAAGGCAAACGCAGTATCCCATTTGAGGAGCCAATTTTATTTTTCTAAACCCATATGTGATGGGGTTATACTTGGAGAAGAAAATCTGAAACAAGCCTTCAGACCATCTCTTATGTTGAACAAGAGCAACTTCCAATGTTGTTGGAGCAACACCCAAAAAGGCATACCGTTTAGGATTATAGTATACAGATTTCCATCCCCGGCATTGGATAGTTAAACCTGTGATTACATCTTCTGATAGACATCCATACACAAGCCCCATCTGCAAACATAAACATAAACATAAACATAAACAAAAATTCAGATCATTAAGTGGGTAGACCAGTGTTTGGTGCCCACAAGGAGCCCGCCATGTACATTGGTTGTATGACTTGTATCTCCCACATTACGGTTGTTAGGGCTCAATCTTGTGTCATTGCCCAAAATCTACCACTCAGAAACCAACTAGGTGCATTTGATCATATTTTTATTTGTGGATAAGAAGGAGAAAGAGAAAAAGAAAGAGACAGACCCCTTTTCCCCATTGAGTACCCTCTTCATAGCTGCAATTTGCAACAACTTTTGATGCTTCTTCCAGCTCTTCAATGCTCCTCCCATCATTCATCTTTTCCTGTCCACCATTCAATTCATATTTGTGCTCTTTAGAGTACTCCTTTCCACAAAGGCTTGCCCTTCTGTGAAAGCATCCAGTGCCACAGTACAAAGCAGCTCCATGACTACCCAAACATGCATGCTCAATCTGCGAAACAGCAATATATACCTGAAAAATACTTTACACGCGAAGGAAGCCAGACAACACGACTATTTCTGTGACTAACACTTACTTCGTGGCATACACGGGCTGCATTTCCATACAAATCATTCTTGGTAATATTAGCATAGCGCTGTGGATGCTGCACAAACGATATCTCATGCCCTCGCTTTTCATCCATGAAAAAGCACAACGCCTCCCTTATTGCATCTGCATCGTTTGAGTACATGTCACAGTCCAAGTTGAGGATGATAGGCGCGTTACTAACTTCTGCAGACACTCTTATCTGCAAATTAAAGTTTCAGTTGCTCTCTAGTATATATTAAGCCTAGAAGAAGATAGAGTTTCCATAAATAAATAAATTAAAAGACCAATTAATTGCTTTAGTTACCAATGCATTCATTGATCCAGCCTTGAAGTTATGTGGTTTTCCGGGCTTCTTCTCTCGCGACAGATAGACAAGGGTTGGTAATTGATTTCCATATGCATCCACAGCTTTGCTGTTCCTCCCATCGATTAAAATCTGAAACCATGTATGTTAACATCAGATCTCAATTGCAATATGAAGAGCAAATTAAATTAAAGGTTGGGTAGTTACCTTAACAATTGACTGATGGTCCTGTTTTGTAGTTTTAGAATTCCATTCTGAGAACCCTTTGTGTTGGCTTTTTATTTCATCTGAAATTCTACCACTTCCCATGGCTACCTCAATCCTGTTTCTCATTTCTTCATATAATTTCTGAAGAAATTACAA